CAGTGTGCCCTTGTCTATTATTTCAGATCGAGGTACGCAGTTTACCTCACATTTCTGGAGGGTTGTACAGTGTGAGTTAGGCACGCGGGTGGAATTGAGTACAGTATTTCATCCACAGACAGACGGACAGTCAGAGCGTACTATTTAGATATTGGAAGATATGCTTCGCGCTTGTGTTATAGACTTTGGAGGTTCTTGGGATCATTTCTTGCCACTTGCGGAATTTGCTTATAATAATAGCTACCAGTCGAGCATTCAGATGGCTCTATATGAGGCATTATACGGAAGGCGATGCTCTTCGCCAGTTGGCTGGTTTGAACCGGGAGAGGCATGGTTATTGGGTGCCGATTTGGTATGATATGCCTTGGATAAGGTCAAGATTATTCAGGATCGACTTCGCATAACTCAGTCTGAGCAAAAGAGTTATGCCGGCCATAAAGTTCATGATATTGCATCCATGGTTGGAGAAAGAATATTGTTCCGAGTTTCACTTATGAAAGATGTAATGAGGTTCGGAAAGAAGGGCATGTTGAGCCCTAGGTATATTGGACCCTTTGAAATTCTTGAAAATGGTGGGTGAAGTAGTCTACAGGCTTGCATTACCACCTAGTTTATCAGCGGTTCATCCGGTGTTCCATGTGTCTATGCTCCGAAAATATCATGGCGATCCGTCCCATGTGTTAGATTTCAGCTCAGTCCAATTGGACAAAGATTTGACTTACAAGGAGGAGCCGGTGGCTATTCTAGCCCTGCAAGTCCAATAGTTGAGGTCTAAGAGTTATCCTTCAGTTCGGGTGCAATGGAGAGGTCAGTCGGTAGAAGCATCTACCTGGGAGTCCGAGTCGGACATGCGGAGTAAATATCCATACTTATTCACCAGCTCAGGTACTTTTTTTTTTCTAACTCCATTCGAGGACGAACGTTTGTTTTAGAGGTGGAGAATATGATGACCCAAAATGTCATTTTTAAATTTAATAAATAATGTTGTGTTCTAAGACCTCGAACAGCACCATTTATCATTTCTCGACATGCGTGCGCAGTCCGTATAATTTTTCGAAAAGTTTTTATGTGAAAAATGGATTAAAATGTGAAATGGAGTTTTAAAACTCAACTGAGTTAACTTTGGTCAACATTTTGAGAAAACGGACTTGGATCAGTGTTTTGACAATTTCAGTAGGTCCGTATCGTAGTTTGGGACTTGGGCGTATGCCCGGAATCAAATTCCGAGGTCCCTAACCCGAGATATGGAATTTTTATGAAAAATTAAAAGCTTGAAAGCTTAATGATTTTTAAGAAATTACTGATGTTGGATTTATTGACATCGGGTCCGTATTTTGGTTCCAGAGCCCGGTATAGGTCCACTATAATATTTATGACTTGTCTGCCGAATTTGGTGAGAATCGGAGTTGAATTGACGTAATTCGGACGTCCGGTTGTAAAAATATAAGTTTTAAAGTTTTCTTGAAAATTTTCTTTGATTTGGCGTCCGATTCGTAGTTCTAGACGAAAGCCACAGGCTACTACTCATTGCGAACGTGACAGGTCCTTCGCGAACACAAAGAAGGCCTGACGCCTGAGACTTAAAACAGAACCAAAATGAGATTTTTCCCATTTTTCACAAATCCTCAATTAGAACTCGGTTTAGGGGCGATTTCAAAAGAGTTTTTCACGATTTCGAACTGGGTAAGTGTTCTTTATCATATAATGATTGTATTTCATAAATCTAAGTCTATATTCATCATTTATTTCGGATTTAGATGGAAGAAATTGGAATTTTTATAAAATCTTCTAAAAACAAAAATTTAAGATTTGAAGGTCCATTTCACATCGGAATTTGATAAATTTTGTATTGTTGGACTCGTATCGGAACGGGTGTTCGGATTTCGTAAGTTTTTCCGAAATTTGAGACGTGGGTCCCATTGTCGAATATTTTTATGAATTTTGAATTTTTATCCGAAAAATTAGTAAATTCATATGGAATTAATTCCTATGATTCGTATTGAGTATATCAAATTGTTTGTGAATAGATTTGAAACTTTTGGAGACAAATTTAAAAGGAAATGTTGTGGTCGAGTAATTGATTGGAATTTGTAAAGCGAGGTAAGTGTCGTGGTTAACCTTGACTTGAGGGAATAGAACCCTTAAACTATTTGTTATGTGAAATACATGTGAACGACGTATAGGCGGGGTGACTACCGTCTATACGTCGTCAAATTAATTGTTTGCATAATTACTTGAAAAATCATAAATCATTTTAAATCATAAATTAATAATTATAATAATTATTTCTCTCCAATTTTTTATCAAATATTAATTCTTGAATTCCTGCATTAATTGTTACATGCTATTTGAATTATGTGTCTTAATTGTTATTTGACATTTAGAATATTAAATATTAAACTGTCTATTTTCTCCCTGATTTTTATAATAATTTATTATTTGTCATTGCTTGTTTCATAATTAAATCATAATTATTGTATGCTTCTTGTCTTATAATTTTATATTAATTGTTGCATTTATTGAAAAAATTTCTTCTATAAGAATTGGTAAATGGATATATTGGAGGATCGGGTTGCACGTCGCAACAGACTTATTAAAAAGTTCATATTGGAGGATCGGGTTGCATGCCGCAACAGATTTATTAAAAGTCAATATTTGGGGGGATCGGATTGCACGCCGCAATAGACTTATTAAAAGTCAATATTTGGGGGGATCGGATTGCACGCCGCAATAGACTTATTAAAAGTCAATATTTGGAGGATCGGATTGCACGCCGCAATAGACTTATTTAAAAGTTAATATATATACTTGATTAAATAACTATATGAGAGGATTGAAAATGAATATATTGTGAGAGCGGGTTGCACGCTACAACAGAATTATATGTGAATATTTTGTGAGAGCGGGTTGCACGCTGCAACGAAAATTGATGGAAATGATAATTGGTTATGACTGTTGAGTTGGCTTCAATTATTATAAATAAGTTACCTGATTTATTTCTATTATTTATTGTTGTTACTAATATTGCGTACAGATTAATGTAAGTGACTCGCCTTAGCCTCGTCACTACTTTGTCGAGGTTAGGCTCATCACTTATCAGTACATGGGGTCGGTTGTACTGATACTACACTTTGTACTTCTTGTGCAGATTTCGGAGTTGGTCCCAGCGGCGTACCATAGACTTGCTCGGATTTCAGCTACTCGGAGGAGACTTGATGTATAACTGCACAGCGTCCGTAGTTCTGAAGTCCCCGTCTATTTTACTTTAACTGTGTATTTGTTTTCAGACAGCTTTATTTTATTCAGACCATTATTTGTATTTATTCTAGAAGGTCGTGCACTTGTGATACCAATTCTGGGATGGTATTTAGACACCGTTGTTATTTTATAGATTATTCACTATATTTCAGACTTTACTTCCGCAATCGTTCTTTGTTATTAATAAATTTAAAAATTGATTAATATTTTTCTAACGTTGACTTGCCTAGCAAGTGAAATGTTAGGCGCCATCACGGTCCGAAGGTGGAAATTTCGGGTCGTGACAAGAATAAACTTACAATATTAAAAAGAACAATTATGATACAGAGTAAAATTATTATATAAAAAGGTATGGTAAATGATAAAATAAAATTATTTAATAATAAATAAGGGTGAGATTTAGAGAAAAAGACAAGGTAACAACGCGACCACACCAAATCGATCGTTACATAAAGTGACACATTTCGTCGTTATGTAACGACGGATTTAACGATACGATACAATAAAATTTAAGTAACAATCAAAACAAATATCGTATTTAAAGTAACAATACGATACAATACAATGGGTAACAACCATCCAAACAAGCTGTTATGTTAAATTCTTTTTAAATCATGTTTATTTATGTGCACTGATCGTGCAAAAAGTGTGTATCAAATACCACCTTGATAGTTTGATTTTTTTTAATAAAAAAATGTCAGTCTTTTTTAAGAAAGGTCTTCTTCGAAAATTTGAACCAAATGCAACCTTAATATTTTAAAAAATTTCTACTAATGCACAACAATAAAGTTAAACTCATCTATAAAGAAAATTTAAAAATGATTGACAATTATACTACTCTTTACAAGGTTTTCTAGTTGCACTTCTCTCAAATTCTCTAGTTAGATGATATTCCGATTTGACCTCATACTATCTAACAGGAAACTCCTATATTAATCTATCTGATGAATGAAATTTAAAAGTGGCATTTATATAAATTTGACAAACAAGCCCATTAAGTTCGTCAACTCGCAAGACATGAGATTCATCGTTAATGAAATCACAAGCACATTACTCAATATATTCACCTGATCTGCACTTTTAACTCGAAAAAACTCATTTAATTTTTGAATTCATAGATTTTCACTCCATACCGTAATTAGATTATCCGTACTCACTGTTTAATATTTAATTGAAATAAATCTCTTTCCTAAAATATAAGCTTTTAAAAAAGAGCTAGACTGTGATTATGTAAAAAGTTCGATAAATCGTTAATATATATAACTTAAATCCTTTTCTAAGTCATGTTTATTTACGTGCATTGATCGTGTTAAAAATGTGAACCAAATACCACCTTTCAATATTTTTTTAAAGCCCTTCAAAATTTTAAACTAAATGTCATCTTAACATAAAATCTTTATAGTTTATATAATCTTTGCACTATTAATATACAACATTAAATTTAAACTCTTCTATAATAATAATACGTTCATATCTCATTTAGTGTTTGACTTCATAGATGTTCACTCCATACCATAATTAGTTTATCCGTTGAAACTCATTATTTAATGCTTAATTGAAATAAATCTCTTCCCTAAAATGTAGTCTTCCAAACGCAAGAGCTAGATGGTGATAGTATAAAAAGTTTGACACATCATTAATATAGATAACTTAAATTCTTTTTAAATCACGTTTATTTACATGAACTGATCGTGCAAAAAGTATGAATCAAATACCACCTTGATAGTTTGATTTTGTTTTTTAGAAGTAAATGTCAGTCATTTTTAAGAAAGGTCTTCTTCAAAACTTTGAACCAAATGCCCTCTGACGATAACTCCCATTCCAAATCACCCGCAAATCCGCCGTCTTCCTCCTCCTCCTCCCTGTCCCATTTCTCCAGGAGCTTCACCACCACCACACGATCATCAAAGGTCCGTATTTTTCATTTTCTCCTCTGTTTTTTTTATTTTTTATTTTTTTTAACTATTTTCCATTTTCTTCCCGATTTTTCTTGCCTGAAAGTTTTCATCTTTTTCCAATTCTTACTTCCCGGCAGCCCCTAATTTGCCGCTAAAATGCGTCATCACCGGGTATAGTAAGCTGGCGCAAGACCAGCTTTTTCTCTAACTGAAATTCATAACCTATTCTTTTACTAAAATAACCTTAAGTTATTCTTGGCTAGTGTTGTAGTTTGGACATATAATGAGGGCAATATTGGGATTAATATTTGTCCGTAGTAGAATTAGGCTTGAAATGCCGAAAGTTGAATTTTTGGGAAGTTTGACCTAGGGGTTGACTTTTTGATATCGGGGTCAAAATCCAATTCTGAAATTTTATAAATCCATTATGTCATTTATGACTTGTGTGCAAAATCTGAGGTCAATCGGAATTGATTTGATATGTTTCGGTGCAAAATATAGAAGTTGGAAGATTTGAAAACTCATAATTCGATTCGATGCGCGATTCATAATGTCGGCGTTTTTTGGCATGGTTTGAAGCCTCAACTAAGTTCATATTGTATTTTGGGACATGTTGGTATATTTGGTTATGGTACTGAGGACCTCGGGTGGATTTCGAAAGGTAACTACTTGAAGCCACGCGGTGTGATAAGGTGGGCTAAAACACGGGAAGCTATTTCGAAAAAATGATTTTCAAAACTAAATGCAAGGCTCCCGCGGTGATATAAGGAATGATTATGATTTGTTTTGTGATATTAGACTGTGAGGCAGTACCTCGGTAGTGATGCTTGCTAATACCATTCAATTATATCACTTGTGTGTTTGGTTGCTTTGTTTCCTTGGCATATTATTCATTGTTTACTTCCGTGATGCCTTAATTTAGTGTATCTATTCTTGGTATATTTTCTTCATTGTTTAATTTTTGTCAAGATACTGAAACCAGGATTATGCTGACGGAGACGGGATGTAATGACAAAATCGTCCTCCACTTTGGTTTTAAAGTCCATCAAGGTCGGAAGGTTAAAAAGGTCATTTGAAGTGAAAACTTAAAGTTGACCTTTCTTGGACTTTTCCATACAGACGTTTTAAATTGACCGTTTGTAATCAGTAAAAAAACAATCTTTTCTTACTCCGAAAACTTTTCTCGGGAAAAAAAATAAAACACATGTTGTTCGAATACAACTCATGCATAAGGTACAATCTTAGCATGGCACGATGAAATGGTATTCTCCTTTCCATGTGTCATGTGAGCCACATTCCCTTATTACCAAAGATTGATATGAGTGTGAAGAATTTTTTCTAAATAACAGTAGCATCCTGACCAATTTGTGTACTTCGATTATTCTAACGGATAACTCTGTGCCGGGTAACTGTTGCTTTTCAATTTGGGATACTGATCGTTTGTGTTTAGACGAATGGGTAATCTCTATTCTTGGTTAAGATCCTTTGACAATTTCTTATGCCAGCTATTTGTGAGTCTTTTGTAATGATGGAGTTGGACCATTTCTAAAATTGGATTGCGTTTGGCATAGTTTAAGACATAACTCAACTTGACTTACTACTTATACCAGTATTTCGTTTCTGTACATGCGTTTGCTTTTAGTACTTAACCGTAGCAAAAATGAGATGGTTTTGTTAAGCTGCTTCCTATCTACCTAAACATGGGTAGAGTTACCTAATATTTGTGCCGGTGAAGGCAGCAGACATCTGGTGGAATGGTGGATGTGCGGACAAGCTGGTGCGGACATCATTGTAGTAAAATAGATTTTAAAAGAAGCTGGACATGGTAAACGAGCTCTTAGTGAAAGAATGAGATTAGGACCTGATCTCAACAGAAGTCTCAAGGATTTGAACTTCTACATTTTTTTACTATGCATTTCCATGATCACCAACCTATAATCACTGGTCCCTTAGCTAATCTTGAACTGGCCAGGTCATGCGTAAACACGATACACCAGCAATTTGATTATTCTTATCAAGGAGAAAAAATTCATTCCAGTACACTTATGTTCTAGACTAGAATTTGAAATAGTTTTCTTGCTAAAAACATAAATATATGAAGCCTCTTATCATTAGTACTTGTTAGACATTTCACATCATGTCATCATCTATATTTTATTGGAACATTCTCTTCAACGTAAATTGTTAATATTGTTTTATTAAGTTTCTCGAAATGTAGTCAAATAATGACGCATGACATATCCTGTTCCGACAGACAGTGTCCACGTAGTGAACTACAATCTCGTTCCAATTATATGACCTAACTGATCTACGTATTGGTAATTGTCTGTGAATATCATATCTATTTCCCAAAACACCTGAGATATTGTCTTACATCTTTCATATGAAGAAGTTACTGATTAACCTTGATTCATGGTGGCAAAAGTTGCAGATAAAGCACTAGACATCATGAAAATTGTTGTACTTTTGTCTGAAGCTGCTTGTTTAGTCTTTTAACAGAAACTACTTTTTTAATTTTCCTTTTATTTTTGGCCCTTGCTCCCATGTAAAACATTTCATAGATTCATATTTTTGTGTTTATGAGGACAACTTGCAGTATAGTAATAATCCAATGCCATTTTTGAAGTAGACTAAACTTATGCTGTCCATTACTTGGTTGAGTGGCTAATGTATGCATTTTCAACTATGAACATGGAATGTGATGATGGACTATTTCTCCAAACATGAAATGCAAAACTGTAATGATATTAAAATTCTGCTTTGTCTATTTAATTGTTGTTACAGAGAACATGTGCCATTTGCCTTGGGAGTATGAAAGCTGGGAATGGTCAGGCCATCTTCACTGCTGAATGCAGCCATGCTTTCCACTTCAGCTGCATTGGCAATAGTGTTAAGCATGGAAACCGCCTTTGTCCTATCTGCAGATGCAAATGGAAGGAAATCCCTCTCCAATTTCCCACCTTCAGTACTGATGTAAACGGTATCAATGTTGGAGGATCTCGCGTGTCTCCTTACCATGTAGTACTTGAAGATCCTGTTAACTTCTCTTGTCCTCTACCAACAATATCTCCACCTTGTCCCCAACACATTCCATTCTTGGATGATGAGCCCCTTCTCAACATCACCGTGGATCATACCTCCTCTCCTTCCGCACTTTATTCGGGAAATATCCTCATGAAATCTTTTGCAGAATTTCCTGCAGTTGGTGCTGCTGAAGATGTGCCAAGATTTGCAGTTCTTGTTGAATTAAGGGCACCACCACTCTTAGATGGTGCTCAGGACCTAGAGCGTGCGCCGATTGACCTGGTTGCGGTGCTAGATGTTAGTGGGAGCCTAAGTTGCCCCGACATGGCAATTTAGGTGCCGCACCCGTGTCGACACGACACTAGTATGGGTGTGGGTATGGGATCCGTACCAGATCTGGTCAAACAATTTTGGGTACTTTGACCACGACGGATAGAAAAATTCGAGACGAGATACAATTTGTTTACCGAAATCAGAACTAAAACTAGGGTAAATTTGAAGAAAATAGCATATCTTATCTAGGAAATCAATCTTTTACTTATCTACAACTTGAGAATAAAAAGGAAATCCACACTTTACAAGCTATACGTAAGTATGCCACAAAATTTCTCATAAATTAGAGAGATTTTTATTTTTTAAAATTATTTTTAGCCGGATCCCCGCACACGTATCCGTACTAGAATCCATATCCCCGAATCTTAAAATTTACATCTTGAAAGATCCGACCTCTAGATCCGCACCCGTGTCGGACACCCGCATCCGTGTCCGAGCAACTTAGGTGGAAGCATGAATGGATCAAAGTTGACTCTCTTGAAGCAAGCAGTGTGCTTTGTGATAGATAACTTGGGGCCTTCCGACCTGCTAGCTATTGTTACTTTCTCATCAAGAGCTCAAAGAAACTTTCCCTTGCGAAGGATGACTGAACAAGGGCGTCAAGAAGCTGCACTAGCTATCAATGGTATTTCAGCAAATGGTGGGACAAATATTGTGGAAGGACTCAAGATTGGGGCTCGTGTTCTTGAAGAAAGGCTTGAAAAGAATCCAGTCGCGAGTATCATTCTCTTGTCTGATGGGAGAGACACCTATAACAGTGATAATGTGAATCGACGCAATAGCAATAGAAATCATAGATCCTCAAATCCAACATTGATCCCTGATTATTTGAGTCTATTGCCTTCTTCCATTCGTCCTTGCAATAGAGAAGTGCCAGAGGCAGAGGATTTGTCAACTTTCCCTGTTCATACGTTCGGGTTTGGTCCAGACCATGATTCTTCTGCTATGCATGCTATATCTGATGCATCAGGGGGCACATTTTCATTCATTGAATCTGTTATTACTGTTCAAGATGCATTTGCAATGTGTATTGGTGGTCTCCTCAGTGTTGTAGTCCAGGAGCTTCAACTTAGCTGCACAGCAGCATCACCTGGAGTGAAGATTGTGTCCATTCCTTCAGGAAGATATGCAAGTGAAATTTCCGAACAAGGACAGCAAGGCATAATTAACATCGGGGACTTGTATGCAGATGAGGAGAAAGAGTTTCTCGTATACTTGTCTATTCCCTCAGTTAAAACTGCTCAAGTTGAGGACATGGTGGAAACATCACTCTTGCAAATTGTTTGTTCTTACAAAAATACTGTGTCCAACGAAATGGTCAGAGTGGAGGCTAAGACAGTTAAGATACGTCGACCTCAAATGCTGTCTCCTACAGATGTAGTAGTAAGCCTGGAGGTTGATAGGCAGATAAACCGCCTAGCAGTAGAGGAAACGATAGCAGAGGCACAAGAGATGGCAGAGAGGGGAAATCTTGAGGGTGCACAGGCTCTGCTAAATAACAGAAGGTCTTGCCTTTTGTCTTCAGCATCTGCCCAAGCAGGTGATGGTCTGTGTAACAGGCTTGACGCTGAACTGACTGAAATCACAGAGAGGATGGCAAGTGAAGAACTCTACGAGCAAATGGGATGAGCTTATATGCTCTCTGGTTTAAGCACACATTTTTGGCAGAGATCCACAACTAGGGGTGATACAACTATACAGCTAATACTACTAGGTGAGAGCTCAAACAATACAGGTGCCGTTGGCTATGAAACTCCAAGTATGTTAAGCATGGTCTCAAAGTCACAGAGCTTAACTATTAGTAATCCTCTTTGAACAAGTTCTGGATAAAGATTGCTAACTTCATTAGTTCTCAGGTTGATAGGTAAAATAGAACATGTTTAGTGACAAAATTCTGTGGAATTTAACTCTAGCAATGCCGCCTTTTCCCTGTCCCCCCGTTGGTCATTAGCAAATTAGATTCTTATCATTTGACTACTCAATAGATTGGAATGAAACATTTAGAGTTTACAACTTTATATATATTCCGCTATTTTCTGTTAAAGTGCTTTCTTTATTAAGTATCTTTTTCTATTTAATTTTGTTTTGTTTTACAAGCATGAGAGTTATTATAACTTCGGCCAAAGGGTTTTTGCCAAATCTTC